TGGGAGGGGCAGTTCAAAGTATCTTAAATATGACAAAGGCTGAAAGCTAACTGGTACATGTTGAGAAGTAACCTTGTCATGTCTTAACCTACAGCTGAGTGGGTTCTCAAAGGCTTGGAGCTCCTGCTTCTTGAAAATTGCTTGGAAGCTGATCCCTTGGTCAGATGGATTATGTTGCTGAGTAACCAGGAAAGCTGAGTTCAGCTGCTCCAGATTAGGCCAGAGTTTCAAGTTACAAAGCAGTGGGCAGCAAGATGAAGTCTGGCTATTCTACCACTTCCGGGTGACATGTCGTCCTTGGTCTGCATTGACAGTAGAAGAGGGGAAGGCTGTCTGTAAAAGGGTTTGGGAGCTGACTGAGCCTGAGAAGTGAAATTAACTTCCATAGGCGTTTTGGGGTGGTTTCCTGGATTGTTTGCAGGGCTTTCTGTGGCCAGGAATATTTCTTTGTTACTCAGCTGGGTGCAAGATATACCCCCTTTATGGGACCTAAGTCCTGTCAGATGTGCTCTGCAGAAACATAGTAAAGCTCAGGAGGAGATGCAGAGTTACAGGTGACACCAGTGCTTGTTGACGTGAGGAAATGTGTAACTGCTAAAGTGCTGCAGTGGCACGGGGCTGCCGTGCCTGATATGAGCACTTTAGGCTAAGAACAGAACAAAGTACTTGAAATAGTTGGAGGAAGGGACTTCTGATTCAGTATAACAAGAAGTTGCTTAAATATGTGAATTTCATGTAAGGAATAATTTGTGGAGTAATGGAATTTGAATTGTGAGTTAAGGCAAAACCTTTCCTGAAAAAGGCTGATCTCCCTATTGCTGTATACCTTAAAATTGTAAGATCTCAAACATCACTTACAGAAATGACTTTGAAGTATTGTAAAATGTATGTGTATATTATTTATTCATTGTTCATCTTTTGAATGCTAGTGAAGTTGCACTGACTGATACCTTAATACTGCGTCAGTGCTTTGATCAGTGATCCATGCATAACGTTAGAAGTGTCATTTCAGACTTCAATGTTGTATGGGCAAAACACAGTTTTCTAGGTTGCTTTCAAGATGTTATGCTCAAGTTCCCCATCCCTTAGGTAAATACACTGCTAGTTACTATGCCATTTCTTTGCTTCTCTGCCACTTTATTCATTTCAACTAAATCTTTTTAAACCAGGCATAACTGAGCACACTGCTTTTTAGTTTTATGGAAAGTAATTCATTAGAGGTATTTGAATTTCAGTTGATCTGAAATGGGGTAGCTGGAGACGCGTGTTCCTGCCCCAGTTTGTGTTGACCTTTGTATGGTTGCATAGCCGTCAGCTTCCTGAACTCAGTGCCCCAGGGAAAGGGGGAAGAATAAAGTCTGACAAGTGTTTTTTCCACTACTATATAATATTTTGGGGAATGATTGCAGTAAAGATGAGAATTACAAGCAGGCAGTCTATGGAGAATGCTGTCAGGAAGGCAAAAGTGTATCACTTACTAAATGCTATCTGCATGGCATTGCTGTAGCAGGTTGCAAAGGTCCGCTGCATTTTTTTCAACTTTCTGGAGTCCAGAGTGAGATATTCTGGGGTAAGGATACTATGGCAGCCTACCATAAGGATACCATAGCCTCAGAAGAACTGAGAAACTATATCAGAGCTACTGAAACGAGGCAAGGATTCTTCAAATAATTAAAAAGTATCAGATGAAGGAAGTCTCTAGCTATAATACCAGGTTGAAATGTGCTCTCTAACTTGAAATGTGTACTTTCTACGTGCAGGGAGAATCCTGTAAGTGTGATACAAGTGTCTATTTTAATGTTCAATAGCGTATGTAAGAGATGCTTTTCCTTGCTTCTCAGTAACATTCTTGTGTTGGAGCACTCAAATTCATTCCCTCATACCTCTGAGGAAGCTCTTGAGTGAAAAAAACAAGTGGAGGTCAGGTTTCTGGGGGAAAATAGTCAAATATTTCCTGTTTGTTTCTACCCTGAGCATCTGGTAATGGCCACATTTAAACAGATGATAGGGTTTGGCTGACCCTTATGGCTGTATTTGGCTTCAGTCACCTTTGACTCTTCCAAGTAATTGTAGCTGGCAGAATGGCCCCATAGCCTGGACTTTTCCATGATGAATATGCTAGGTTAGATTATATTAATTTCTCACAAAGTGAGTCCTGATGTTTTCTTACAATAGAACTGGAAACTTTTCCTTCAAAAATATATTTCCAGCAGTTCTGAGAACATAACCTACTCTCTTTCCTCTAAGAGCATTTTGAAATTGTTACGTACCTGAGAGGTACCTCTTGTCCTTCCAGTTTTTCCCTCTACTTGATCAATTTAAAACCTCTGCAGTTTTTCATGTGTACTCAGCTTCATGATCTGTGTTCCTTTTCCATGTGTCTGCCTTATCCTTACCTTATCCATGCTATCCATGGGTTGTGGCTGTGTGCCCAAGCTGTGTGCTTTGGGCTGGTGCTGCGCATGCTCAGTGTGTGTTTGGAGTCAAGGGATTGACTCGTTTTTTTCCTCCTGAAAGTTGTTCCTTTTAAACTGTCAGTTCTATTGCATATAGAATGAATAAAGGGCTAGCATAGCTGTTCCTGTCAGGCAATTGAAATACAAGTTGGACATACAGGTTTGGCGTGAGTAATGGGAGAAAATGGGGTGTGCAGTGAGGAAGAGAAGAACGGACGTGGTTAGACTGGAAGGAGAGAGCCTACAAAGACATGGCAGCTTCTCTGGAACCCTTTCATCTGCAAGTATGTTTCTTGTTTTTTCTTTCGTGCAACTAATAAATCCCAAAAATGTGCATCTTCTGGTCTGTTTATACTATCTTCTGCCACTTCCTCTTCCATCACTTCAAGTCATCGGAAATTGTGCTTTGAAGTCAAGGAATCCAGCTGTGATAGCTTGCTTGTTATGTCTAGAAACCTTCAGCCTTACCCTTGGTTCATTGTTTTTACTGTTAGCTATTTTTAATCCAATTACTTCTGTAAGTTATAATGCTCCACAGTCAAAGAAGACACAAAGCTGTGGTACTTAGTAAAAATGTAAGGAGAAATAGCTTAGGGTTGTCATCTGTATTACTCTGGGCCGTTGGCTGTTTTAATCTTATGGAATATATATGGCTCCTAACTTCCACATGTTTCTTCAGACTCGAGGACATTAAGCAGGCCAAAACTTTGTCATCTTCTGGAAACTTTCAATTGTTTATCTGGAAGTTTAACATTTATAGTGGGCAAGTCCCATGATGCCACATGCTCTGTAGTTACCTTTGGTTTTTTGGTTAACCATCTCTTGGTTAAGCATACTGATAGCTGCTTATTACAAGTAGGCTGGCAAGCAGTTTCTCTTCCTTGCTACGCGCAAAGGTCATTGCTATTCCTGGACTTGAAAACAAGGTAAAAACTTAAGCTAGTAAGACCTAGTGGAAGAATCCTTCGTTTTTCTTCTCTTTGTTGAATTTTGCAGCTCTGCTGCCTGACTTGGCAGATAAAAAACAATAGTTTTACCTTAGTCTTTGGTATAAGGTAACCCTAATGGTATAACCAGGCAAGCAGATCAGATGCCATTGCTCTTTTAAAGAAGAGAAACAATTGTCTAATAAAGCTTTGACAGACATGAGAGAGACTGTGGTCGCTGGCAAGTAATATGATAAAAGTAATCTCGATCCTTTGAGATACAGGAGCCTTCCTTTGTATTCAGAGATACAGGATGCAGATTTCTCTGCATAGGAGCTGCTTGGTAGTACATACAAGGTAAAATTTGGTGTTCACAGGCTAGGAAAAAATAAGGGTGTGTTAGATTGTGCAGTCCTTATTTTCAGCAGAGTATTGCTGTCTGCCTGAAGATTATCCTACTCAAGAGGCAGGATGTTCAGGTGACCTGGATCTGTTCCCCTGTTTTGCACCTCTTACGTTGAAGGAGAATTAATTGATGGTTCTTTGCTGCCAGTCTTGCACCTTTTCTGCCAAGTGAGTGCATTTTGAAGCAGCCAGAGCTTTCTGGTGCATTCGTTAAGTGATCTGTGTAGTCCTTCCAGTACTGCGGAGTCTGTCTTTGACCAGTTACAGGTTGAAATACCTGAAAATTAAACCCTATATGGAATCAAAAACCAAGTAGGCTAGTAAGTGCAGGAGGTATGGAGTGCTTTTTAGCCTTACCATTCAATCTTAAAATTGGTAGTAAGCAACTCTCAATGTGTAGAAACTCACTACCACAGAGTATGTTGTTGCTAACATCCCCCAGGGTGGGTGTTTCTGGTGGGAAGGAGAAGTTGTGTGTTTCAAAGTCTCAGGGATGTAATTCAGTGTGGTCCCTTAGATTAAGATCATAAAAGCAGTGGGATAACAGGAAGCACAGAAGCAATGGTGGAAAGGTTAGTAGGGAGTTGGGAATTTGCCAAAATGTACTCTTAGGCAGTTGCACTTCTGAGTATATGTACAGCTCTGAAGCCTGTCAAGTAGAGTGGTGTATTTAACGTTATTAGATGCTAGATGCATTTGCTTCTCCTTTTTTAAAAGGGTAATTTAAAGTGAATAGGTATACAAACCCAGCCCAACAGACTATTGATTGGGTTAGCAGTAGTCAACAACTACATATAAAGGCATAAAACATTCCTGGCTTTATGCTGTGCTGCCAGGATAAGCAACCCGATTTATCCCTTAATAGTAATTAAGAACTTTATGTCTAGCTTAAACTAAACGAGTGCTGATTAAAACCATTCTATTAAGCTGGGAATGATTTAATATGAGATGATCATCCTTTTGTTCATCACAGTTGCTTTCACATGACTGCAGTGAGTGCGAGTTTGATGAGCAGAAAATAACGTGCTTGTGTGCATCCCATAGATGTATACAAACTCAACGTTTACAGTTGGGCTTTAAGCAATGTCACCATCCTCTTTGTAGTGATATAAGCATTCCACCTATGTGTTTAAGAACCTGCTTACAGCTACAGGCAACAGAGCTGTGTACCTGTTAGTATCAAAGGATACTGGTCAACAAAGACCTGATAAAGATCGAGATCAATATTCCTTTAGCTGACTGTTACTAGATAAGGTAAACAAGTAAAATATTTGAGTTAACTGAAAATCCAAGCATATAAATCAGGTATTAAGAATGACTTTTGTACTAAATGATGGTCTCTGTTGTGTTCCTGATTTAGCATAGGAAGAAATGAACTGGTACAGTAGAGAATCCTGAAGAGCTGAACAGCTCTTGCAATTAATATTACAGTCAGCAGATATTTGTCACAGGGCTTACCTTGGTATGCTTCAATGTGTACCTAAGATGGTCATAATTACACTGTCCAGTTTCTGTAGGTGAACCTACACCATATTTCTTGAGTGCTGAAGGGACACAGTGTAGCTGTCATGCATATTACTGTTGCACTCGTGACAGAACTGTTGTTCCTCTTAATTAATTGAACAGGAGGTGAATTCAGAGGCAGTTAGTGGGGGCAGAACCGTCCTTTGAGTCATTTGCCATCAGGCAACAGGTAAACGTTTCAACTAAGGTTCTTGTTGCAAATCTTGTCACAGGTTTTCAAGACCCAAGTATTGGTCTGGTCCCAAGTATTGATCCTTGAACACCTGTCCTGTAACTTCAATGTGGTGCCAAAGTGTTGCCTGGAACGTGCAGTGTTCATCTAGGTACACTGATGATGATGGAGCATGTCTTAGAAGCAGTGCTATTCATTTTTGTGTAGTCTTGAATCAAGATATCGCTTTTGTATTTCTCTACTGTAGATTAATCTAGAAGCAAAGCATCCTCACCCTTAGTATGTTGTGCAGGTACCTGAACATGCTGTCAACTCTGAGCAGTGGTTAGTAAATTGGTATTTATCAATGGTGCAACCAGGTGGCACACAAATATACATTTTAATGTCACTTAGAATCTGCTAACAAACTTAGGAGTCATTTAAAATTCAGTATGTTCCAGTTTTTCCTCTTAGAGAAGTGTTAGAAATTGAACAAGAGCCAATGAAGTGCTCTTTAATTTAGTTATGCAATATTGAAAGCTTACCGTGTTAATATCACACTTCGGTTAATGAAAATAAGCTTGTTTAAGGCTAAAAATTGTAGATATTTTGAGAAGGCCAATTCTTTAGCCAAAATATCCCATTTCATACAAATTAATTTATATATGATGATGATATCTTAATTTTTACCTCTTGTTTAGTGATCTTGGGGGTTGGTATTTAGATGTTTTGCTGTATGCCTTCATTCTTATGCACATTGTATTATGTACCTTTCATACTGTATCCAAGCATCTGAAGAAAGCGTGTCTATGAAACAACTGTGTCTTGACTTTGTATCAAAAAAGCTGATGTTAATGTTTTTTATTGTGGTTTTAAGTGCTTCTTACAACTCCTGGTTACTTCTTATGTTTTGTTTTTGAAGTCTATAATCCATATGCCCAAGTGAATAAGTGTGCTACGGGAAAAAGTGGTACCAAGATTCCTGAGTTAAAAGCTATATTTAACAGTCATTTGCATTATTTGTAGGTGCTCTTAGTAAGCAGTAGCCGATACCCAGATCAGTGGATTGTTCCAGGTGGAGGAATGGAACCAGAAGAGGAACCTGGAGGAGCAGCTGTCAGAGAAGTGTATGAAGAGGTAACAAAAAAATTCCAACTACTTCATTGCAAAATGGCTGAGGTAGGAAAGGAAAAGGATCTTCGGAGGTCACCTCCAATCCTTGCTCAAGCAGAGCCACCTAGAGCCTGTTGTCCAGGATCATGTCCAGATGGCTCTTAAATATCTCTGAGGAGAGGGGTTTGTGCAGTCTCTCTGGGCAACCTGTTGCATTGTACAGGAAGTACAAGGTTTTACAGAGAGCTGGTGTGTGCTAGAAAGAGAATGAAGTACAGGATATCCAATGTTGAACAGCTTTGTAATCCCAGTATGACAGAGCACATTAATGTTGTTGCTAATTGTCAACATGCTAACGCGTTATTTCAGTGCTTTTCTCTTTTTCTGAGTAGCTGTGCTACCTGGTGCTTTAGCTTGCGTACCCTTAAGACTCTTAGCTTTGTTGTGGAGGCATGGGAACTTGATGTAAATGTAGTTTGCCTGAAATTTCCTTGCCTTTTGGTGTCAGAATGAATTCTGTTTGCTCTAATTTGTTGAATCTTTTCCCATCTTATGCGGGGAACAGACTAATTTGATATTCAGTTCTCTTTAGCAACCCTCATGCAGCAGGATTTCAACATAAATAAGCCTTGTTGATTGAAGATTATTCCAGATTTTCTTGCTGTATTCAGTTTTGTTGTAGGGGCCAGTTTTGAGCAGCCCAAGATGAATTCAGACAAGCGCTCCCTGTATTTATAAAAGTGAAGGAGGCTGCTTCAAAGCAGTCAAGCCCCACTTGAAGGGGGCAAAGACCCAGGCTCCTCTGCAGGAGAGGCAGTAAAAGAGCCTCTAGGGAAAATCGTGATATCTTATTATCTCATAGAAGTTGTCTGGGGGCTTGACCAGAATACCAGCGCTTAGGCTTCTGTGTGCAGGCAGTGCTAGGCATAGAGCTGTCAGGTTAATGCCGTAGCAAAGTAGTGTAGTGGTGAGTTGTGACACAGAGGCTGATACTTAGTTTTCTGCTACGCGTGCTTCTGCTCTGAGAATATTTTTGAGGAGTACTTCAGGTCATGGTCTTGCTCACAAATTTCTGCGGTGCTGCCTCAAAAGAGGTGTGAAGTTTAGGAGAGTGAGGCTGGGATAGCAAAGGAGTAGGGGTGAAATATGGCCGAGGCCCAGTCAGGCTGCACACAGTGCCCAGACATGGAAAACTTTGTGGCTGCTTCATACAGAGAGTAAAAATCTGACTGCTCCTGATTTTGTGTCCTTCTGGAATTGCTTTCAGATCAGCAGGGGAAAAAAAAAAAAAGGGACAAAAAGTTTTTAAAAAAAAAAAAAAAAAAAAAAAAAAAGCTGTCTCTGTTCTATGAAGTGATCCCTCCATAGCAGAGTTTTGTCCTTGCCCCTTCTTTGTCAGAGCAAAGACTTTCCTATACATCACTCAGTACAACAACTTGAAAGGAGGTTGTGGTGGGGGTTGTCCTCTTCTCCCAGATAACTGACAGGACAAGAGGGTATGGCCTCAAGTTGCACCAGTGGAGGTTCAGGTTGGATATTAGGAAGAATTTCTTCTCAGAAGTAGTGGTTGGGCACTGGCACAGGCTGCCCAGGGAGGTGGTGGAGTCACCATCCCTGGAGGTGTTCAAGAATTGTGTGGATGTGGCACTGTGGGGACCTGGTCGGTGGGCATGGTGGGGATGGGCTGATGGTTGGGATGGTTGATCACAGAGATCTTTTGCAATCTTATGATTCCATGGTGGTGGTCCTGGTCAGGAATTGTATCACTCTTAAATGATTGTTCTGTGGGTTCTTCACTGTGTATTCTTGTCCTAGTAGAAAAAGTGGAATGGATAGAGAGCCATATAAAAATGAAGTTCCAATCTGCTAGGCAAATCCACAGGGGGAAAAAAACCAGGATACTGTGTGTAGAATGCTGAGCACATCTGCAACGTACAGATCCAGATGTGAATTAAAAAAAAAAAATTGTTCCTGATACAATTTGACTTATCCTCATCTGAAATACTCCTGCAGTCAAAATGCTCAGCAGGACCCTTCATGATAGAAAAGCTGTGTGTTATAAGTGACTGAAAAAAGGACTGTGTATCATCTGTGTTCATACACCACAAAAGTAACTTTCTGAAGTTAAAGCTCCTGAGAGGTGCTGCTGTGGGCATCTTACTCACAGGCAAATGAGCTTTTATTCATTCTTATGACAGTGGCTATGCTTTTTTTAATGTTATTCCAGAGTAAGGCATGACCTGGTAGCCATATTTGGCTCTTTGCTGTGCTTTTAAGTACATCAAGGTTTTTCATAAGCCAGTGGCTTCAGTGAGCAAAAATTATTTGGCGATGCTTGTTCAACAGCTTGAGAATTTTCAGCATTTTGTAGAATCATTGAATGGTTTGGGTTGGAAGGACCATTAAGATCTCTAGTTCCAACCCCTTGCTATAGGCAGGAACACCTCCTATCAGATCAGGTTGCTCAAAGCCCCATCCAGCCTGGCCTTGAGTGCTTCAGGAAAGGGGCATCCACAGCATCTGTGGGCAGCCTGTTCCAGTGTCTCACCACCAGTCACAGTAAAGAATTTCTTCCTAATATCTGGCCTAAGTCTACTCTCTTCCAGTTTAAAGACTACATGCCCTCATACGAGTCCTTCCCAGTTTTTCTGTAGGCTCCCTTCACATGCTGGATGGCCATTTGATAATGAACACTAAAAGTTCATGGCCCAAACCAAAATACAATTAAGCTACAGGCTGAATCTTGTGTGCTGCTGTAAGACTGCAAGGTAAAGCACCGTTCTTAATGAACACTGGTTTTTCAGGGATTTTACTTGAGCCATGGAAATTCACATTAACCATTTTAGAGATGCATGTCCTTTCTATTTTTACACTGAGGTCAATGTCACCTGGCAAGCTGGTTACAGTGCAGTGAAGTGAACTGTTAAGAGTTTTGTGAATGAATAAACTTCAAAGCAGGCACACTGTGGCACTCCTTTGAACCGTGTTCCTTTGGTATTGGGTCACGCACAAACTAACCGTCAGCATCCATTAATTTATTACAAGAGACACTGATAGCAGGTGTTGTAAGGATCATTCTTAGTGGTAGGAGCAGTGTGTTCACAGCTCACACTCACAGTGTGTTCGCCCCACTGGCTCTGTATATCCCTTGGTTTCCCACAAAAAGTGGTGTATTTAAAAACTCTTTGTTTTTAAAACCCAAAGGACAAATGCAGTCAAAGCTATGTGCACTGCAGTTCTTCCATAGTCAGACTGAGTCGTTCCTGTTGGGTTTGTTTTTTGTCTTTGAGTTCTGTTCATGCTAATGTTGCTTTTTTTTTTTTTTTTTCTCCAGTAAATAAATTTTAGTATGAATTATTCTTTCTTTCTGATCCAGTATTGTGGTTACATGGTATAAATTGAACTGTCATTTTGTGGGTTACAGTAGTTAGTCACTTGTCAATTCTTTAGATACAAACTTTTACAAACCTGAAATAGAATATCAAAATGAAGTTACAGTGCCAAGCAGTCCCATAAGGGTACTACACCTTGCTTAAATGCAGAGCTGCTTTGTTACTCAAGTTGGAGCTTAGTCTTTAATCGGGTGGCATGATGGCTGGAAATGGGAAGGGCTTGCACATGCAGTGTTCAAAGGGAAATCTGACACTGAAGGGGATGAGATGTTCGGCTGGCCTCTCAAAAGGAAGGAGTACCCTCCCACTGCCTTTTCTTCTGTCACACACAAAAAAGAAAGACTCTTGCTCTGTTTCTGGTTAGTGTATTGAGGTGTCAGCCAAAATACATCCATTTTCCCCCCTGACCTGTGGAAATACAGCTCTCTGAGAAGAGGAGGCTGCTTCTGAATAATGTGCAGTGACCATAGAAGTGCCAGTAATGTTATCTAAGACCTCTCACAAGAAACAAAAGGATCTGCTCCAGCTAGTAGCTAATACTACATTGATCTATTTAAAAATAAAAAATAAAAAACCCTCTTAAATGGGATTGTACAGTGGTACAATGAAACCCTTTTAAGTTCTAAAAGTGTGTGAGAAAGAGCAGGAATAGCCTTGCACTGTGGCCATCCAAGTGCCATCCAACAGATCCCACAGTTGAAATGACTCTTAAATGATGTGGGTTTTAAGCGGCTTTCTATGTTAGTTTGAAAGTTCCAGCAGGACTCTTGCTCCATCTACAGGAAATACAAGGCAAGCCTGATTGCACCTCTGATGCAGTGCAAGATTGGGATCTGCCAACAGTGAGTCCTCCAGGCCGGGAGGGCTATGGGATGAAGTAGTTTGTATTCTTCCCTGTGGCTCCACTTAGACTAGCGTTACAGCATATCTAAAGTTCAGATGTGAGAAGTTACTGTGTAGTGCTCATAGACTGACAACAGTAAAAGAAATACACCTTAAGGTTTTCTCTTGAAGTTGAGTGTCTCACTCAGCTGTTGGATTTTGTTGGATTATTAAACAGCTGTGTTTTAACTGCTCTGGGCTCATAATGGCCAAAGAAAGACAAAATTGTTTGCACCCTAAAACTTGTTATTGCATTGGGTTATGAGCTCAAAATTTGCAATGTGAGAACTTTATTGGACATTGCAGGAAAAAGCTGGTCCTCTTCTAGTTCCTCTAGGTCTCAGTTCTGACAGATTTTGAAGGCACCATGTTAAGAACCTGGAGAAAATGTTTTGGTTAAGGAAAGCACTTGAGTTTTCAAGTAGTCTTCACCTAATGACTCTTCTTAAATAATGGCTGCTGTTTTCAGCTGAGGTGAGAGTATCTTACTTTTAGAGGAAGAACCACAAGACTTCAGCCACTGCCTATACTTTAGAAGTAAAAGTTTTGAAAGCTGCTCCTGTCTGCAGAAATGATGCCCCATTTTGGAAGCACGTCTCTTTGCCTAGAGAGTGATTTGGAACTGGGGAGAGAAATCACATCTGGTGACGTCTGGTTACACAAAAGCTTTCATTCTTTCATTCTGAATTACTCGAGTATCTGTTTAAACCACTGATTTGAGTGGAGGCAGAACAGAGAAGCTGTTAAAATCAAGCAGATTCCACGTGGCTGTAGTGAAATAGATGGCAAATTAGACTGAATCTGGGGTACTAAGAAATGGGGAGAAATTGAACAACATGTGAAGAAAGCTCTAAGGTTGTATACAACTGTGCACTAACTTCAGGTCTAGTTCTTGCTCTAGATGTGCAGAAGACTGAGATGCAGAGGCAGAGAGCAGACTTTAATCAAAATTGCCTAATAAATAACATTAGCCATCTGCTTCCTTTAAAAAGGAAGACACAGAGCATTCACTTGTGAGATGCTGATTAGGCTTAGTGCTGAAGCCTGCCCAGTTGCCTGTCAGAGCTGCACACCAGAATGTAAATAAGATCCATATGGCCCTTTTACATAAAGGCATTGGTAACTTTGGTTAAAGCTGGAAACCAAGACTGAAGGCTAGAAAATGTCATGTTAGCACTAAGAAGCCTAGTTTTAAATATCAGTTACACAAGGAGGCAACATCTACATATGGCTTTATCTACCAGTAGGCTATACATGTTCATGTCTCAGAGGAACGTGCTCGGATTTATTTGGTATGAGTGGATGATCATAAATAACAGCTTGGAGGAAGCATTGTGTATTACTTCTGTGGAAACCAAGGCTGGAGCATCACAGGGATATAATGACTGCCTTCAATACAATACAAAAAGCTGTGACAGGTGCATTCACTGTCCAAAGGGCTTATTTAAGGTCTTGGAACAATACTAAAAGCAGAAGTTAGTAATGCTGTGGAGTTTGGGGAATATAAATTTGGTTGTAAGGTTAAAGGTTACATGCCCCAAACCATTTCCTGTGAAAATGAGTGAAAATTGATTGTGCTCTAAGAGCCACGTGGTTACCTGTACTTCAGTTCATTGCTGAATTATGAGGACTTGGAGTCCTCAGTTTCTATCAGAAATAGTAATGGAATTCTAATGATTCTGTCTCTAGATTGACCCGTATCCTTGAATTTTTCTCTTAGCCTGTTTACTTTCATGCTTATTTTTTCATCATTGGTTGTAGGTGCAGCACTGTAATTAAAACCTATGTTAAATAATTGCTTAAATAATCCTAATAAGAAAGAGTAAATCATTTATCCTGATTGTTACAGTATTTTGACTTTTTAAACTATAAAGCACATGTTAATGCTTCTTTTCCTGCCTGTTTTGTAGGCTGGCGTAAAGGGAAAGCTAGGCAGACTGCTCGGGATATTTGAGGTGAGCTATTTCTTTCAATTTGCAAAGACAGCTTATGTTTGGGCTTGGTTGCACTATTTGTTTTTTGTTGGTGTTGGGTTTGTTGGTTTTTTTGAGTTGATAACCTGCAGAAGGCAACTTCCACATGACAGAGTCAGACTTGTTGTACTTGTCTGTAATGTAGCAGTGCAGCTTTAATTGCTGCTGGAAGACACAGGAGGCTGATGTTGTTCTTTAACTGCCACATGATGTGTGCAGGCTTGAGTAAGGAGAGGCTTAGAGCCTTTCTAGAAAGTGGAAGTGAAACTGCATGCACTGACAGTCTTCAAACCTGCCTATCTTTTTGAGTCCAGTAGAACAAATGCCAGGTTCCCATACGTGAGTACGTACTGTTATCAGTGAGAATAAGAGCCAGTTTTGCTGGCAAGTATTTCCTAGGGTAAGTAACTTTGAATGTTACAGTTGTGGAATGTCTGTGATGTGGACAACTTTTTTTTTTTTGCTGTGAATTAAAACCTCTGCTTCTAACATTCAAGCAGAACCAGGATCGGAAGCATAGGACGTACGTTTATGTTCTTACTGTCACAGAAATACTGGAAGACTGGGAGGATTCTGTAAATATAGGTAAATGCATTCTCTCCTCACATGCTCCACTTAAAATGTTGTAGTTAGCAAATAATTTCACTTTCTGAAACGATTCTTTGATGCTTTGCCCTTTTTCAGGTGATGGTGCTTTAAGTGATGTTAACATCCATATACTCACAACATTTCTATGTCACTGAGTGGCACACAGCTGTATCTTGAAAACTGTGCTCAGTTTGTTTAGGTAGAGCAGATATATTGCATGCCAGCTTCCCTGTAGAGCAACACTGATTGTCTGTTACTTCAGAGGATCGATACGGGGGTGGTTTTGCTGCTACTCAAGCTCAGTGTGCAGGGATCATGAAGGCAGTGCTGCTCCATTCCTGCTCGGCCCAGGAACCATCCGCTGCTCTTTAGAGCACTGCCAGGGTTGACAGTGTAAGAGGGCAGTGTTGAGTCACTTAAATACCAACCCCTTCCTGTAAGGCCTACATAAACAGTCCCATAAGCTCCTGCCCACTGTCTGCTTTATTATGAACTGCTTCAGCAGGCTTAAGTGAATCTCTCGTGCTCATCCATTCTCTTCATGTCTTCTTAGTATGCTGTCTGATGACTTGAACTTCCCGAAGTAACTGGGATGTGATTGATCAGACAGCAACCTGCGGTGCCGTTAAACATCTTTTTTCTTTGTGTATTGTACTCCTTCAGGAAGGAAAAGAGAATGGTTTAAAGTAGAAGACGCAATCAAGGTCCTTCAGTGCCACAAGCCTGTTCACGCAGAGTACTTGGAAAAACTGAAACTGAGCTGTTCCCCTACGAACGGAAATTCTGTGGTTCCCCCTCTCCCAGATAACAACTCCCTGTATGTCACTTCTGCACAGACTTCTGGGTTGCCCTCTACTGTGAGATAAATGTTTGGATGACCTTTTTATTCACGCCATCGCAAGGGGAGACATCTTTGATTACACGCAGGCACCCGTATAACTGTCAGTTCTAAGTGAAATATGTGAAAGTGTCATCGTGTCGAGTTTATTTGAATGATTTTTCCTTTTTAACAATGTAAAATAGTATTTCAGCAAACCAAAGCCATATATGGATTTTTTTAAGATGCCTTAGTAGGCCATTTTTTAAGAGAGGAAACTTGAGTATATAAATTTCCATATCTGCTAAAATAAAGTATGCATCTAAGTGGTGTTTGGCTTATTTAAGACTTGTCAGTAGTTCTGCAAGAGTACTTGCTTAGAGAAAAGCGTGAGCAGCTTGTCTTATACTAAACTCTTATTGGGTATCTGCAGGTGAAGTGCTAAGAACTGAAGACTGCACTGTTTGGGGAGGTGGAGGCAGATATGTGACAGTGAAGCACACTGACCCATGTTGAGCTGTTGAGAGCTAAGGATACCAACACTAAGCACTGTTTGCCTCAGGCATCCAAAAAGTTGTCTTGTCCTGTGCAACCTTCACGTAATGTAGGACTAGAGCAGGGACAATAACTTCTGTTTTGCAATTACCAAACCCATTTGCTATACTTGGTCAACCATCAGAAAATGTATGTGAAGGTTGTTGTAGTTCCCTCCCTCATCCTTTTTTTTTTTTTCCTTTCAGCATTTTGGTGCACATTTTGTTCATAGTGCAATTATAATGGCAGGATCCAAAGCCTGCTAACCTCCAGTGACAAGCATCTTATATCATGTTCATGCAGTCTGTTATTTAAAAATGCTTGGAGGAAAATGGGACTTTAAGGTAAAGTGGTGTTCATTAGCAAGCACGTGCTCAAGTGTTGTGCCCAGTGGGAGTTGGTTGTGGTACTTTTGGGCCTTGGAGACAGGTAGGTTGATATGCTGGTGGAGGAATAATATTCCTTTGTCTTATTCAGAAGGCATGCTGAAAGCCCTGTATTAAAGTTAGCTCTTTAGTACTTGAGTTTTACTGTTTTAACATCAGTTGCTCTAGCATCTTGTAATAAACAGCTGGCCTCGTGGTGAAACTCACCTGGAATAAATGAGGTACCGCTGACAACTCCCCTCTGCTTTGTTGTTTTCTCCTCTTCTTCAGCCAAGATGAAACCTAAACCCACTGTAGGTCTTAATATGTTTCAACCATAGGATTACTCTTTCTGTGTATGTGTGTACGTGGCTTTCTTTTACAGGAACACAATCCAGTTCATATGAACACCTTAATTCTGAATTTCTTCTAGGATCTAAACCCAACTGTCCTCTCCAGCCAGTCAAAGCAGAGGCTGAGGTAAAGCATTACCTCGTGTGAAGTTTATTCTGGGTATAGCTCATTCTCTACACAGCATTTGAACCTTTGTAAATAGTCCAAATAGTAAATAGTGAGTGTAAAATGGAAAATAAATGTAATTTAAACCTTTTGTTACTCAATACACAAATGGTTAACTTCTACTTTTTTAACACAAATTGTGTAAAATGCTGCTATAAATTAAACTTTTTTGTGCTGTTACACTTTTTTAGGAAAAAAAAATGTTGCCACAAGTTACTCCTTAGAAAACCAACCTTGTGCCATATGTAAATGCAGTGGAACTAGGGAGACAGATGTTCTGATCTTTAATGCTGCTCTCTTTGAAGAGGCATAAATACTACTGACAAGAGGTGTGAGCCACAAAGCTGAAGACTTGTGAAATGTTGGGTAGGGCTGTCCATCCCTGAATGTCCTATTCCAGATCACTTCCAGAATGGGAAAGAACACAACTCTGTTCAGGTGTCTAAGCATAGAAGGTACTGCAGACAGCTGATCCTTGCCTTCAGTTACAAGGGGAAGGGCTGAACTTGGTGGTTTCAAAAGCTAAATAGCAAAGGGTGGAATTGAGCATTTTCTAGTACGTTCAGTGTGTGTTAAAGCTGCGCCCCCCTGTTGTGTGAAAGCACCTCTGGCTCTGCAGTTACCTTCAAAAGAGTGACAGATTCAGCTTTTTGGGCACTTACCTTTTGCTCACTTTTTTTGTTCAGTAGTCATTTGAATACTTTAAATTGAGCAAACTTGTACAGGCTTTCTTGTAACAAGATTCTATAGAAGATGTGAGAGCTAAAACAAGAATCCAGAGTTCAAGTCCTTATTCCTAAGACTGCTTCTGTCTCAGTTTCCAGTTCTTGGAATGAAACCAATCCAAGCTTGTATGAGATTTAGTGGTAATGCATGATCTTATTTTGTAACTCTCGAATTATGTATTTGATAATAATGTAAAAATGTACAGTATTGCTGTTACTAACAAACTCAGAGTTGATTGCCTATAAATATTTTGGTTATTTTTTTTGGTCACACACATTTGAGCTGTTCAGCAATGCCAGATGGGTTTTGAAGCAGCATTCATTGTATAAACCTCTTCAGCCTCTGTGCAGCCTTCAGAAGGAAACGCTGTGATGCTTAGTTTGACTTCCTCTCAGAGATGAATGTTCTGTGAATTGGACAAACCTGACTGCAGGTAAATTGAAAGCACTTCAGTTGTGCTGAAAGAAAACCATTTTAGTAAAGGAGCAGTGGTCTGGCTTCAGCTGTAATGAAATCTGACCCTAAGCTTAACAGAAAGGGTCTGTTTAGAAATCAGTTGGAAAGCTACAGGTGTTTTTCTAGTACCTATCCATTAAAATGTAAAGCCTTCTTATTTTCTGCACATCTCTATTTAGATGGTCCAAATCTGCTGTATAGGGAATGGACGTGGGACTGTCCTCATGCCATGAATTCTGTAAGACATACCCAGATTTGGTTCTCCAGAGGAGAGAGAAGTGTGTCAGCTGCTACTGTCAGAAAGCTGAGTTCATGCCACTGCTTCCTGCATTAAGTTCTGTCATTACAGTGGTAGCAAAGAGAAATTGCCTTAAAGTTTAAAAGCACACAGAAGAAGTAGTGAAGGACTGCACAGAGGCTGCTGAAGTGGAATATCTTATTTTGGTGCTTACTGCACCCTGCGTTAACCTGTCAGTAGTCTGCTAACAATGTGCTGTAAAAAACAAGAGAAGGCAAACTCTTGGTTTACTTACCACCATGGTTTGTGAAGTGAAAACTGAGGGGGGGTGGGGGGTGCAAAATAAGTTGTAAACATTTTGACCTGCTTGCATGGATTTTCTTTAAAGATTGATGTAAGAATTTTGACTTTTTATATTTGAGAAATACCAAAATAAAATCTAAATTAGTCCTGTGGATGGTGTGGTCATTCAATCTCAAATGCTGCATCTGCACTCCCTGTGCAAGACTTGCATCTCCTTTAAAATGCATGTAATGGGGGATTCATCTTTTTTCATGCTTCAAAACAACACAACTTGGAAGTGCAGCAACAGCTGCCATGTCCCTGCCTGTGGCATGGAGGGGGCAGAGCTGAGCCCTATCTCAAACACGATGCTAGGTATTCTTCTGCCCTTTGCAGCTAGTTGAGGAGCAGAGGCCACTGAGACTGGTACATGATCAGCTGCTCTCTACCTGATCCCCCATGCTCAACTGCCCTGCTTTCAGTGTCAGCTCTGGTTCCCATTAACTTTCCCTAGGTATCTGTTATGGTTCATTCTAGTGGACGGTATTAAGAAGCACAGATAGCACCTCATCCCTCTCACTGTAGCCTAGCCTCTGCTACAGCCACAAAGGCTTCCTACCAAGGTCTTTTTAGCTGCCATTCATCTGAATTCTGAAGATTTTGTGCCTGCATTCTGGGTATGCCCTGAGCAAAACTCACCTTTGAACATAGCGAATTACCAAACAACTGAAAGTACTACTAGGGTCAGTTCACTGTATCATGTTCTTTAAGATGAACCTGCCTTTACTGCATGGAATGTAAAACTACAGCCACCCTTCATCCTTGGGGGAGTGTTCAAGCTGTTTCCACTGCCATCAGCTATATGCCCTAAGCTGTTCCTGCAGGCTTTGACAGGAAAGGTGCTGATATGTGGCAATGAACTCCATTACAGCAGACGTAATTATGAGCTATGCTAGTGCTGTAACATGGCTTAGCAACACTTAATAGACCTGCCAATTATTCTGCGCTGTAGTATCCAAATTGTGCAGTGTTACAGTAAAAGTCTTGGGCTAAAAAAGGCAGATACAGGCAGGCAAAGCTCTGAGCTTGTGCACCACAGCTTTCCTCCCCATAGAAATGAGAAAAAAACACAAACAAAGTGACTGATGAGAGAAGTTAACGTTTCCTTATTTTAAGAGATGATGAGTACTGGGAAGTTGCACTGCACAGCGGTGGCAGCCTGCTGCAGTTAAATGAAGCTCAGTGTCTATGTAATGAATAATCACTCTTCCTTTTATTTCAGTGTCATATTACATTACAGTCAAGACATGTTATTGACAAAACCTACCAGACATTTTACTTTAAATGTAACCCTCAAAAAAAAAAACAAAAAAAAAAACCAAAAAGAAACAAAAGGAAAAAAAAACCCCCACAGCATGTACATAAATTGAGATGTCACAATTCCGTATGTTACTAATGCATTAAGATGTTTCACAATATTCTCCATGTTGGAAATACACTTTCTCGAAAGCTACAGAAGCAACATTTCACCGCTTTTAAACTAAAGTCAGCTACCGCACAAACGCCAGATCCCAGTGATGAAACACTTCATACCCATGAAAGCACGCGGCCAAATGTTGAGACAACCACCGAACGTTTATGCAAAGACAAAAGCCTCCCAAAGCCTCCTTTCCCTCTTGAACTACAGGAAATTGCCACAGCCGTGTTCTGTATGCATGGTTTTAGAGTCCATTTGATAATCCGGGCTCAACAGAAGCAGTCGCTATCCAGAAACTGACCAGATGCAATGTCAGTGCTCTCACTGAGGATTCCAGGACACAACACATAGCACCAGTAATGGCAGAGGAAGCCCACTTATTGTACATTCGCTGTAAGTTTACCCAATAGCCACTAGAAATGGAGCTAGAACGAACACTCCCTACGAGAGAGCAGCATTTGCTAACCAGCTGTAAAGGTACACTGACAGAAGTAACCTCAAGTTCAGATAATGCCTGTAAATACACACGCCTGCTAAGCTGAGGGGAAAAAGACAAAGCCCCATCTACCTGGCTTCAGAGAATCCCTGTTTGTTGCAGGGAGTTGGGCTAGGTGACCTTCAAGGGTCCCTTCCAACTCAAACCATTCTGCGATTCTACGATTCTAATTTAGTCTAAAACTCACATTCCTCAACACAACATAGAATAAAATTTCCAGGTTGACTTTATACATAGCTCTTAAATCAGGTTTATATTACATATATATATATACACGCATACATAAAATGCCAAATTTTGAAAGATTAAAACATACCTGAATAGATCCCACAACAAACAGGAATTTCGGTTTTTAGGAAGCCTGTTTAAAGTTTCCTTTCATCACAACTATCACTTGAGAATATCCAAAACAGTTTTGAAATACAGTATCTCGCTTGTCCTTTTATACCATTAGATACACCACTACTACTGACTCACAAATTCAAACTGACAGTATGGACTGCTGTAATTCTCCAATTTGTTGAGATACTAAAAATAACAGTAAAAGAGAGAAAAAAAATAAATAACCCAGACACATACCAGCTACTGTGTATTCAAACTGGTCTATAATGCACTTAATTTGGTTACTAACAAATGGGGGCAGAGGATTTCTATTTATATATTAACAATATTCCATCAAGAACTTACTCGCAGCTTTAATTACATTCTCATCTCAACAGCCAGTCCAGCCAGGTTTAAGCCATGCACTTACAAACACCAACCGTCTGCCCAATGCCCTGGATTCAGCCCACCTAGTTTTAAGCCACATGCTGTGGAACACCACTTCAGAACCTGCTTCTCTGCCAAAGGAGGAGAAAGCCACATTCACAGGGGATGCTCAGGGCTCTGACCGCCCGGCAGCTCCGTGCTTCCTTACATCAGAGAGCTGAGGCAAGCCTTATCCAGTGGGGAGTGCCCATATCAAGCTTTAAGAGGTAGGTGAAGGTAATGCAGAGCCTACTGCACACACAGCTCACGCATTCTCAGCTGCCTGCCACAAAAGCTGCCCGTGTTAATAGCATATAGGGGACACACAGCAGCCGAAGCCAAGCACATGCTCATTTGTAACATGAAGGTAGGGTTAACAGCACTTCCATTCTTAGAGCAACCTGCTACAAGCCCTGAATGCAACTTCGGCTTGTGTTCAACACAGCAACTACTTTTAAGGGGTTTTGTTTGTTTCGTATCATGAAGTTGAATTCTGAGCCAAGCTTCAATCACGCTTGGAGCACTCCAAGGGAGAAGACCAGTTACCAATCACTGAAAGCATTCTGTCTGGAAAAAAAGCAGTTTTAATACTCTTAATCTCCCTTAGGAGCACAGTAAATAGACCACATTCTATAGAGATTTCAGCTGATACCAGAGTAAGAGGTAAAAAGAGGAGGGAGAACACCAGTAGCCTATATGATCATAATCCAAATTGCACAACAGCACTCCCCACTGCAACCACAGCTAGTTGTCACTCATAAACTTCAGGTCAGCCTCACCAAAAGCTTTTACAACTGTATTTGGGAGGTTGCAGCTAACATGGGAAGAGAATAGAGATACAAGAAGTTATAGGAAATAAGATGGGTTCCCAGAAAAGCTGCTGGATTCCCAGACACGACACACGCATCAAACACAAGGACAAGAAGGAAGCATCGCACCGAAATTCCCTTCCCTCCAAGTCAGAAGCATTGCTACTATTGACGCAGACTGGTTGTTTAAGCAAACAGCTTAATAAGGCATAAGGCCAGTAGATAAAACCAGTGGCAAGAGGTGCTAGCTAGAGGTGGTTAGCAAACATGTTGATATATAAGCTAGCTGCAACTGTTTCTGTGCATTGTAGGTCTCACGTTTACAGAGGACAGGAATTCGAGTTAGAAAAGTGTAATAACTGATGATAATCAAAGACAAGTTATGCAGATACTCACAATTACTGCTACCTTTGCTCTCAGCCTCCTACTTGATTACACTCCATCTCCGTGACAATGCATATCAACGCATTATCAAAATGATGATTATAATTGTAACAGATTTTTTTCCCTCTCCCCTCAAGTCACTCCAAATGTAACTTTGTATTAAATTGGACAGGTAAGGTCACCCACATAACACAAGCTAATGAAAAAAGTCAGCGTACAGAAGCAAAACATCTTGTAAATTCCACCTCTTTACTCTTTCAATCTGTCAGACTAGCAGACAAATTGTCAATTCTGGTTTCCATGTTTTTTTGTTTTTTCTTTTTAAATACGATTGTCACATTAGAGAAATGAAAACACAGCAAAATAAACTGTACAAAGGCAAAGTAGAATAACAAAAAATATTTTACTAAAACATAAGATTTACAGGAGATTTTCCAGACAAGCCATACAAAATGGTCACAAGCTTTTTCTCTGAGGGATTTTTCTACACTTGACAGCAGAATCACAATATTATTAGTGAAGGTGATGGATGTTTAATGTTCCCATTTTTTTGTTCAAACAATGAAGCTTGTCCATCTACAGCGTCTAAGTTAGACTGGGCTAGAGGGTATATTCTAAAGTATAACTGGTTAGCTGCTTTTATCAATGCAATTAGCATCACCATAAAAAGGGAGGAGGAGCCCACAAAATTAAAAGGAAAAGCCCCGCAGCTAACCCTGCCTACCTTCATTCACAGTGCTTATGCTTAAACCATGATGGGATTAAAAGCAGAGATGTGCTGCTGCTTTTAAACAGTTTCACAACAATCCAGATGATACTTCTAGCCTCTGCTCATGCGTTACAATAGTGAATTAGGACAAGACACAGATTTGCTAATGTGCATTTAATCACCAAAAGACTGAAGATGTCTGGGCTTTTATTCTGTAATGTTTCTAAGACTGTGTCCATTAAATGCAAACAAAAAAGGAAGAGGTCTTGGCAGAACAGGAGAAGTGATGCACACTTGATGTTCAAAGCGCATTTAAATATTATTCATGGCATATAGCCTAGTCCATGCTCTGGCTGTAAAGGGAAAAAAAAAAAAACACATTTAAGAAAAAAAAAAAAGTATTTCTCAAGCTTTATTCAAGTTATTTTGTTTTTTAAACATTACTTTTACACTGCTGCAAAGACACAAAATGTATCAGCTGTGAAACGAGCACAGTTTTGACCTCCTATAATACACAATATGTAATACACAAAAACAGAGATCTGATGAAGCAGCCCAATCACAGCGAGGCCAGAAGTGACAGAATGCAATAATTCTTTCCATACCTGAAACAAAAGCAGCTATGGAAGAAATACCTTCTGAAACTAAATAACCCATTTCTTAAACATCACAGGTAAGACATAAGCGCACACTTCTATTTTACCACGTCTCCACACCAGACATCCCTGCGATTTAGGAATGTAAAAGCTCAAGAGAAAACCACTAAGTTTTCTTTCTAGCAGGCTGCATTTACACACTTGAGTAGACCACTGCAGGCATATGCAGGAAACATGGACAACAACTGCATGCAGTAATTACTTCTGCAAGTTGCAGGCACAAAATAGGAGGCCGGGATTTCAATTCCCCAACCAATTAGCCATCAGCTCATCATATTTCCTAAAACTAGAAGAAAAGCATCAGATACATCACCTGTTTCTATGGCTTGGGCTTCATTGGTCTTCCATTGCTCAGCTACATCATTTGCTAGTGGATCATCTGGATTGGGAGCGCTTAACAAAGCCTGGATTGATAGCAGAACTGTACGAATCTGCAAAGCTGGGGACCATTTATCTAAAGAGACATTTATGAAAGCATGAAATACCACATTCACAGTCTACTGAAATAACAAGTTTCCCACTCCCAGATTAAAGCATAAATAAGATATCCTTATAAAGAAATCTCTTTCAGAGAGAATCTCCAAGCTTCTGTATGTGGTAAGATAATAAGAAAACAAGGTTGCACTTACCTTTCAAAATATCTAAACATATTCTTCCCAGCTTGTCTACATTAGGGTGATAAATTTTGGTCATGAAACGTACTTTAGGAGCTGCCATTGGATATTCTTCTGGAAGGAATAGTTCAAGTTTAAATGTCCCACCCTCAAAGGGGGAATCCTGTGGACCTGCAATGACCACGTGAAAATAACGTGCGTTGCTTTCATCTGGTTCTGCTTTTATCCCAGGGACTGGCTCTGCCAGCAAGCGCTGGGTTTCCTAGGAGGAGAAGGAGAAGAGGCAATGTAATAAATACAAACTGTTTAACATAAGCAGCTCTGCACAAACTATTTTAATTGATTATGCCCACTGAAACTACGATAACAAACGAGTATCAAAGAACACCATGTGGTGACCTGGTATGGATCTCCTTCCAAATCTCTCAGCTGCTATGATAATAACGTGCCTCCACAGCACAAGGTAATGGCTAACAATTAAGAGATTTAGTAAAGTAAAGTAAAGGATAGCTTTACTTCTGATTCAGTATAAACAGAAGCAATCTAAAGAGTATCACAGTAATAACATCAGCATTTCCCATTCTACCTTAAGCACAGAAGTCCACAAGTGAAAAATGAAATAACCGATCACTCACAGAAAGCACTGAAGATTTACTCTAACACGAGGGCACTGGTTTTAAAACGAATGTCTGTCCTGGAATCAGAATCAACTCTGAAGAACTGAAAGTACTACTCAGCCCCAGTTAAAGATGTTGCTGTATGTATAAATATATAAAACATCTGTATGTGTGAATAGCCTTTGCTCAAGCACATCCAGCTTACATAATAAGTACACTTCAAGCTTGTCTCCTTCTGTTTAGAGTAGCAAGTTGTTCTGTACACATTAGAATTAGGGAAGCCTGCTTTTTCTACCCAGATTTGTTGCTCTTCCTCCAGCAGTAACCCTGCCCCAGGCACCATGAGGTGGCTACACTGAGGAGCTGCCCATTCTGCCCATTCTGCCCACTAGAGCTCCGTGCAGACTTCTCTCTCCTCTACTGCCAGCCTTCGCAAGTCTCCGTAGGCACCATTCCACCCCCAAAAAAAGAAGAGGCTGACACTGGAAAAAGGACATTAGGCAGGGACAAGGAGTTCTGCAGAAGCCTCATTTCCTCAGGTAATTTTAGCCTCATTTCCTGCTTTTCGTCCTGCTTGTTTTCACTGCTTGCAGTTAATTTTATCACCACCTTCCCGCGTTGACTTACACAAAGAGAAATTTTATTTCTACTGCAGCGAGTGGTAACCTGTGGGTGCCATATTAATTTATTACCCTAGTTTTACGGCATATTTACTCTGTGTGTCTACAATGGCAGTAATATAAACACAATAGTTGCACATGGCTTAAAGTTCTTCAAATATAACCGGGCTGTTACAATACATGCACTTCATTAAAATAATGCACACAGCGTTGAATGACTGCCTTGATGCAGTTAACATCTCACTTTAGCAAGTGAATGAAATATTTGAAGCATTGAAGCCATAGTAATTAACATTCCAATCCAACCATTCATATCAAATGCATCAAGCTCCTACAGCTCCTAATATTGACGTTATCTTCATAAACACACCACAATAAATTTATGTGGCCCAACTTCTTGTCGGACTTATCTGCACAGGCATTAGCTGCCAGTGCCACTTATATGCCACACCGTAAGGACATCCAATCTGCTCTAAGCTTCCTACGCTCACTCATGCAAATATATTTCAAAGGACACAAATGAATTTGCAACACATTCAGGATTTCTGTACCGTTCCCAGCCCCAGCTCTGTCCCGATGACCCAAACACTGCCTCCCTAGCCATGCCAGTGTGCTGACTGTACCCATACCACAGAGCCAATCCTGGCTTAAAACAATCCAGAATCAGCAGTTCCATGGCAGCAGCATCAGCATTTCCACCTGCCAGTGCATCCAAGGGAGCAGTGTCAGGCTGGGAGCTGCACATACTGCCACTAAAGCCATTTGTCAGTAAACAATGGGCGAGCCTACATACAAGAAAAATCATTCTATTGATAAGGTACAGCATCATCACATTGAGGGCTTTATCACTGCTGAATGTCATCATGTTCACATAGACCTTTATGCCCTGTGTTATACAGACACTTATCCTGCTATAAAATAACAAAAGAGATGAGAGCCAAAAAAAGCATATAATGTTACATACAGTTACGTTGCTTCTCAGGCTCCTCAGAACCTGTGCAGGACACCTATACGTCTACGGAGTGCAAGGATGATGAGACACTGGAACAGTCACCCAGCGTGGCTGTGGATGCACCCTCCCTCCCTGGAAGCGTTCAAGGCCAGGCTGGAGGGGGCATTGAGCAAGTTGAGCATGATAGAGAACCCTGGTCTAGTGGGAGGTGTCCCTGCCTATAGCAGGAGGGTCGGAACTACATGATCTTAATGGTCCCTTCCAACCCAAACCATTCTGTGATTCTATGAAAAGGAGTAGGAAAGGGAAAATGAATCAAGAAGTTGTGTTTTAAGGCCACAGCATATCAAGATGCTTAAACATAAGCAGGCCAGTAAGTACCAAGGCAGAATCGGAAACTCAGCTTCCACACTGTAAAGTCAGACAGCCAGCTAAAGACACATTGACCCTGAAATCCATTCCACCTGTTGTGAGGCTGGGAGCAATAAGCTCCATTTGAGACAAGCAGCTGTTGGTACACAGGACAACACAGCACCAGCTCACGACGCTGAGCCTGCTGTAAGAATTTTTAAAAATATGTTGCACCCATTCCCCCTTCCCATCGCCTGCAATACAGGCACCTACAAAAGAAGTCTGTAGATGTGGACTCAATCTACAAAAAGGAAGTGTTTAATTTCCTTTCATATGTGAATCTAATTATCTATTACCTTCCCCAGAGGACAGTTATCCAGTGAAAAAGATACCAAAGAAAATCCCTTCCAATTAAATTTAACTTGCTAGATTAAATTAGATGACTCAAGAAGCTCAAGCATACGCAATACTTCACTTTACTACACAGTAACTAATTTTGTCTGCACAGGAATACTAATTTCAATCTAACCTGTACCACAAAAAAACACTTCATGGTATTTCTTACTAGCTCTCCTCTATCATACTGAACTGAGTTTCACAGGAAACACTTCAGGACATACTTTGAGCTCTACAGCATTTAGTGAGCTACATCCTTTGCATCCACAGGCACTTTATTTCTATTTGTCACACGTCAAGTTTAGAAAATGAGAACTCTTTTCCTTCTCATTTGACTTCACTTTTCCTCAATTTCAAGCTAATTTCACAGCTTTCATGAATTAATGAAAATGATTAGATAGAAAATGAAGATACATGCCAGCCAATACTTCAAGGAATAAAAAAAAAACCACCGAAACACACTGCTATCATTCAGAATTTGTTACACCTCTCTACCGTTTCCCTTCTTGTTTTTAATTAAGTGGTTACAAGAAATACAGAAGCATTGAATGTTTTTTGATGAGCCAAAGCTTTTCTTAGTAATACAGGTGGCCTGAAGTAGAGTGACAGATGATACGGAAGGGACATGTGGCGCAGCTGACATTCTCTGTAGCTATTCTTTTATGAAGACATTTGAAGATGAATTTTACCTGTGGGGGAAAAACCTTCAACCTGTTTATATGGCAACCTGTGAGGCCAAGGCAGCTGAGGACAAAGTCTGTGATGTTTAGAGGAGGTCAGCAGAGGAGGTGGGAGCAAGGATGGTCCAGGCTGCCGAGGCAGAGAAGTCTCACAAGCAAAATATCAATCACCAGTGGGGTGTGTTTCAGTCTTTGAGCACCTGGCTTTATTATGCTGCTTTCAGAGGAAGAAAAAATAAATAGTGAAACACAGTCACCAGGATACTTCTTCTTGCTCTGTGTGTATGATAGAGATCTTCTTTAGGGAAGCAAAATGAACAAGAGAGGATGCTTCCATACAGACAGGCATGAAAAATCAATTGTCAGAGCATGTGGAGATACGTGGACACAGCAATATAAAGAAGGAGTCCACTAGAAATATACCTTTATTTTAATCAGTTCTAGTCTTCCAATAGTCTTTATAAAAGCCTCAAGTTGCCAACATCTCAGTCAAAACAGCAACTACTACAGAATATGTGTTCCACCACTCCATAAAACAAAAGCTACTGTAATAGACTTCAGAAGCCTTACTTGCTATCAACACTATGGCAATATCAAACAATGGCACACTGGAAAATAACTATAATCAGAAGGTTCACATATGCAGGCATTTGGGAAAAAAATACTCATTACAAAGCACAGCCACTGCAGTTGAATTGAAATCTTTAAAGCTCCACTTGTCTGATAAAGACCATACCAGCAATGAAGGAAGAAATTACTGCATGGGATTACACAATTTTTAAACTTTCTTTGTAACCTTTAAGGCTGTTGTATGAAGACTTCTAGAATGTAAAAAAGATGTTTGTGCTGACTTGCCAAGCAAACTAGCTCAATGACAGCAGGGTTGGTCTCTTCTCACTGGTGACAGGAGGAGGGGAAATGGCCTCAAGCTGCTCCAGGGTAAGTTTAGGTTGGTTATCAGGAAAAACTTCTTTACATTAAGGATGGTTAAGCACTGGAATGGGCTCCCAGGGAGCTGGTTGAGTCACCATCCCTGGATGTATTTGAAATCCATTGGGATGTGGTGCTCAGGGATGAGATTTAGCAGAGGGTTGTCAGAGTTAGGATAGTGTGGTTAGGTCATGGTTGGACTCGATGACCTTTAAGGTCTTTTCCAGCCTGAACGATTCTATGATACTATGAAGAAATCCAAACCCTGTGCTTTCAGCCAAATTTGCTTTCCTTTTTCTTATTTCACATCCACTATTACTGCTACACAGCTCACCTCACCAACCAAAACAAGCACACAAGCTAAACACTCTAGTCTTGAAGCTGCAACTTCAGCAGTTACAACTGAAGGAATACACATTGGACACAATCTATCACAGTTCTTCCTCTACACAGTCCTCTAATATCAACTGTGAAATCCATAAAGTGCATTAGAACAAAGGGAATTTTGAGAAATCCCAACGCTTTGAAGAGCCTGAACCAGTGGATAAGTGAGAGGCCAGAAGGAGGGGAAGGAAGGAAGAAAGGCTGCGGGGCCTTCCACTTCAGCACCAGCACTTCTGCCTGCATGCTGATCTTTTGACCTCACAGTGAAACAGTCCTTGATCCAGCCCACCACATGCCCATGCAAACAGCTGTGCCGACAAAAAGGAGAGGGC